CACTTATCAGAAACCCTATACAAGGTTGCTATGGGTTGGAGCTGATTTGTCGACACTTACCAACAACAACAAGGTATACTATAAGGAACCCTGGTAACATAGTGGATTACATGATGAGCTGTTAACTACAAGGTCAGCAATTCAAATCCACCAACTGCTTCATGGGAGAAACATGAAGCTTTCTTTTCTTGTAAACTTTTGCAGCCTCAAAACCATGTACAAGGTCATGCATGCTATGAGTTGGAACATGCAACAACAACCACTACCACCATGTGTAATATAGGTACGTTACATGTAATGATTGGGGTATAAAAGGCAGTGATTTGATTCTGAGTCAATGGGCAGGATAGAACAACGCCATAGGATTTTCTGAATCTGTAAATCTTTCTGGAAGCAGACTGTCACATCTTTCTCCCAAGCAACACAACACTTAACTCATTGCACAGTTAGATGTATAAATACAAAATTTTTTCAGGCAGGTTGATGTTTAATAGCAAATACTTTATATTAAACTCTGAAGAAATAATGCACTTACTAGTAAATGTCAGTCTGCCTGCAAAATTTGTACATTAACACGTAAAAGCATAACAGTGTGGTTAAACTGATAAATAATGAGTTGTTCAGTGTTTTCATTGAAAAGAAAATTCTACTTACTCTGTAATCAAATCTTATTCAATTCCATTACATGATAATGGCATACAGTATACTGTGCACCATATGTATGTATACATAAACTGGTTAAATTTTGGGTTTATCATGCCATGAACATTTTATTTATAAGACTATGACATTGTGGTTTTTATTACTTAATGAGTAAACATTACAAATCTTTAAATTTTTTCCCAGGTTCCGTGAGTCATTGCAAAGTGATGCTATTGTAGTTCATGCCATACAAAGTAGCCACAAGATAGCCTCCTATAGGCTTGTCAAACCCTCTAAATACTCCAAATCGAAAAGAGTAAGTCAATCAGAGAGAAGACTGAGCAAAATGGAGAAGCTTGAAAAAGAAGGAGTTGGAAAAAAGGATAGTCAGAAAGATACAGGTAAGCAAGCTTAAGTATTAAGATTTTCCACCACTCATTTGTCATTTTGTCAAACTGTGGTGGCTTGCATGTTGCTGTGATGTTAAAAGCTATGTCACAAGTATTTTAAATACCAGCAGGGTCACCCATGATGGACAAGTTTCAGTGGAATTTCCAGACTAAGATAGATAAGGAAGAAGGAAAGGCAGGCTAATTCTGAATGTTTAGCCACTGAAAACCTTATGAATAGCAGTGGAACATTGTCAGATATAGTGCTGGAAGATGAAAACAGGAATAACAGCAGAACAATATTGGATATAATGCCAAAATATGACTGGAGAAGAGCTGCTTCCTCAAAGTAAAGTTAACCAAAATGACACAAATGGAGTAAAGCTTTTGGGACCTTCATTTACTGCTGGGCATAACACAAAATGAGGAGAAATAGCTGCAAACATACATTAGTAATAAGAACATGGAATGCACAAAGTATGAATCTAGGGAAATTGGAAGTTGTCAAAAATGAAATGGAACACATAAAGATCCATATCCCAGGCATTGTTGTTGTTGTCATTGTTGTTAAATGCTGTCGAGTGGGTTCTAGCTCAGAGAGCCTGTGTAGGGTTTCCAACGAGCAGCTGGTGGGTTTTTTTTGTTTTTGTTTTTTAAACTTTGATGATTGTTTATTAGCAAACCCAACTTACCCTGAGCCATGACTTAAGAGCTTTTACATGTATTTGATCATTTAATTATATAGATAAACACAGATAGATGGAGTCTAATTTCAGTAAGGAGTCCTGGTTGTTGTTGTTAAGTGCTAGTGAGTTGGTTCAGACTCATAGTGACCCTGTATAGGGTTTACAAGGAGCAGATGGTGGATTTGAATGGCCGACCTTGTGGTTTTCAGTCCAGTGCTGACCCTACAGTGCCACACCAGGAGTCCAAGGAGCCCTGTTGTAGAGTATTGGATTTTGAGCTGGGCTGGTAACCACAAGGTCAGCAGCTTGAAATCACCAGCTGGTGGGTTTGAACTGCTTAACTTGTGAGTCACAGTCCAGTGCTGATCATACAGCGCCACACCTGGAGTCCGCTATCATAAGTGATCTGAAAATGACTGGGATTGATCATTTTGAATATGATAATCACATGGCTTACTATGTTGGGAGGAATGGCATTGCATTAATTATCAAAAAGAACAGTTCAAGATCTATCTTGAACAGTGCTGTCTGTGATAGGATAATATCCATATGCTTGCAAGGAAGACCAACTCATACCACTATTATTCAAATTTATGCACCAACCAAAAAAGCCAGTGAGGATAAAATTGTAGAATTGTACTAACGTCTTCGGCCTAGCCGTTGGATCCTGGCTTTGAGGCGGGGTTGACCAACTTAGAGACCCACAAGTGCAGCCCAAAGTGTCTCATTACAACCCTGTCGCCCCTGCTGTGCTTCCGCCTCTTGACTGACGTGATATCCAAGGATGGAAATCCCACCTTTGAGCCGGGCCCGTAGAGCAAGGAGATTCATGTTTAACAGCGACCGCGCAACCGCCACTCGTCTGTCTGTCGTGCTGTGGTGGTTTGAATTGCTGTGATTCTGAGGGCTATGTCACCAGTATTTTAAATAACCAGCAGGGTCACCCATGGTGAACAGGTTTCAGATGAGCTTCCAAACAAAGACAGACTAGGAAGAAAGAGTGACAAACTACTTCTGAATCGCTAGTCACTGAAAACTCTATGAATAGCAGAGAAACACTGTCAGATACAGGACCGGAAGGTGGGAAGTCACTCA